TATCTGCATCCAGCATCGTGCGAGCTCGCCGTTGCACAGAGCAACTTCCCTCAGAAAGCGCTTATCTCATCCCAACCCAGATCCACATGTGCTGAGCAGGGCCCATGTGCTGATGCTTCCTCCTCCCTGGCTGACCCTGTGCTCATCTCTGCCATGTGCAGCCCGGGGGCTGTCCAAGGTGCCTTCCTCACCCATAACCCTTCTTGTCTAGACCCTGGGCCAGACGAGAAGGGAATGCAGGAGCTACAGGGAGAAGGTGGAAAGTTCCATGTCTTCCTGAGCCCCTAGGGCTTGACCCACTCCCTGTCTGCCAGTGCCCATCTGCAATCCACTGAGCTGTGGGTGAGCAGCTGCCAGCGGGGAGCAACCAGGCAGGGCCTCATTTTCCTGTTTTCTCAGCTTTTAGGGGTGCCGGGAGGCAGTTTCACCTGGCACGAGCTCCTGGGCAGGGCTCCTTGGCTGCTCCATCGGTGTGGATCCAGGTGCCAGGTAAGGTAGGGATGGGTGGTTCCCCTTCGGCAAGGGCGCGGAGACTCATCCCTCGTGCCTCCAGTGCAGCTGCCAAGCGCCGTGGTGTGAGTCAGAGCAGCGCTGAGCTGGGCTGCTCCCTGCGCTGCTGTCCCGCTTTATTTCTAGGGGCTGTCCTGCAAACTGACCGGTCTTTTCCAAGCAGAGGCCTGATCCAGTTACAGAGGCGCAGGTGAAGGCAGCAGGGTGTTTGGGAAGGCCGTTACCTGAGGCTCCCCTAACGCCGCAGGTATTTAGAAAGGGAGCAGGTACAACGAATAGCCCGCGCGGTCCCGGTGCTCTGGGCCCCGGGGCGGTGGGGTTTGGTGTTCCTCGGGCCAGGCTGCATGGACCCCACAGCGCCTGGGTGCCTGCAGCGGCACGGGCTGCTCCCCGCCAGCCGCTGCCCTGCTCCCGGTCTGCTCCGCTTGGAAGAAGCTGAGTCCGACATTCCTGTGCCGGCTGTGCTCTGGGTGGTGGTTTTTGAGAAGCGCTGGCTTTTCACTTCTGCGGTGCCTTGCTGGAAAGCTGTGCGCTTTGGGAATGAGTCACCGCGGCCGGAGCCCGGCGCGCCGCTCGCGGCGGGCACGCAGAGCCGGCAGATAAGCGTGCGATAAGGCTGTGCGGACCCCGTGCCCTGCGCCGGGGCCGGGGGAGCCTGGCGGCTCCCAGGCCCGTGCCTGACCCCAGCTGCACCACCCTCAGGGCAGCAGAGAGTTTATTTTGGGAACAGCAGCTTGGGAAAGTCTCTCACGCAAGGGGATGGATGGATGGATGGCGTTTTCCAAACATCCCTTCTCTGGGCCCAAAGCGCAGGCGTTGCTGTGGGAGCGGGCGGGCAAGCTGGGTGGCTCCAGCCCAGGGGTTCCTTGCAGTCCCCCGAATCCCATGGCCCTGCGCTCACGTGGGCGGTGGCCATAGTCCCACGCAGGGCAGCTGCCACCCACGACATGTGCAGCCAAGTCAGTGCTCAGCTCTTGCTGCACACTCCATTCCCACGATCCCTGCTGCCCTCCTCTGGGTCCCGCCGAAAGCTCCCGCCTCGGTCCCCATAACTTTCTCCTGCGTGTTTATACCAGTCCTCTACCATGGGATCCCCGTCCCCTGCGCCCTGGCGTGTCTCTCTGCGGGATGGACCCAAACCTGCTGAGCATCTCTGTGAGTCCCTCACCCCACACTCTGCTCCTTGCACTGCCCTGCCCCAGGGCCCTGCTCTTGAGGCGCTGGGGTGCCATGCCGTGCCATGCCGTGCCATGCCAAGGAGCATGCGCGGAGCCAGCAGCGTGCTCTTCCTGTCTCAGCAGCTCGTTATCGCTGATGGGACCTGGGCTGTGGCTACTGCAGCTGTCGGAAACGTGGGTGGCCTGAAATGGGATCAGTGGAGCAGAGAGAGGCCAGCAGCAAGCACAGTGCTGCAGGCTCGGGAAAGCCCAAACAGGACCCAGGCACCCTGGATTTATTGCATTATCTCCCCAAAGCCCTGCTCCTGGCTGCACCCCTGCCCTGCCTGTGCCCAGGTCAGAGCATCCTCATCCCACCGCAGACTCAGATCCCTGCACCCGTGCTCATGGGCTCTGAGACAGGATGCTCAGCCACGATGGTGGCCTGGCCTCCCTCAGTGCCCTGGCCGTGGGCAGATCCTTGCAGCAGGGACCAGCAGGTGCCCACCCATCACTCCTCCCCTTAGAGGGACGTGGCTGAGCACTGCTGTCCTGCCCCCCTGACGCTGGGCACACCGCAGCACCCGGGCTCCCCATCGCACCATGCCCAGCACCACTGCTGTCGGGGCCATGACGTTTCCAGAACAGTGCTGCCGAATGAAGCAGCCTTGTTGCCTTCTGCTCTGCACTCCCTAGTTTTTCCAGCCCAATCATTTCCCAGTCTCCCACCATCTGTGCCGGTTAGGCATGCTGTGGGAAGGAAGCAGGAAGAGTGCTGTGTTGAGCGTCACCACTACCACGGATGCTCAGCCAGGTCTGGGAATTCCCCCCAGGAACAGGACATCTGAGCCCCCAGTTTCCCAGCCATTGCCCACTCCAGCAATCTTGTAGCCTGGGTTTCCTCTCTTGCTATTTCCAGTAACCAGGGTCAGGTGTGCGTGCAGACGGGGGCACCTCCAAAGCTGTGGAGAGCCCAGAGACTCAGACATCCCTTTCCTGCAAATGGAGGCAAGGGGAGCCCTGATGTACTGCTTCATGGGCAGCTCTGGCTGCAGGCATGACCCAGCGCCTTGTTAGTCTGGTGGCAACGACCTTCTGCTGGGGCTGGGTGTGCAAAGCGAGCACGCCAAGGGGAGCCCAGAGCAGCCCTAGGCACACGGTGCAACAGCGAAGGATGGGGTGCAGCCTGGGGGCCTGGCCAGGATTGGGGTGTCCTGGAGGGGCTCCTGGAGCTGTTTGCAGCCAGGGGGCTGGCCACGCCGGCTGCTTTTCCTTAAACCGAGGCCCTGGGCTTTTTAAGGAAGAAAGTGAAATCACCATCTTTGAGGCAACCGATCTGTTTGCTGAGGAAGTGTGAGTTGGAAACAGCCCTGCTGCCATGATTTCCCTAACCCCGACACTGCCCCTGTGCTGATTCATTGATTTGGACGGGTTATATACTGGGAGGGGAAGCGTGAACCGCACTCGGCTCGCTCGCCAGCGCGGAGCTCGGAGCGCCGCTCACTGCGAGCTCAGCTGCGGGACGCACCAGCGGGTAAGTGTGCTCTGCGCCGCGGGACAGCCTGCGCCTGGAGGGGCTGCAGCGGGGTCTGGGGTGTGCGTGCTCAGCATCCCTGCCCTTGTTATCACATGAGGTGCTTGGCTTCTTGGGGATTGTGGGAACTGAAATATTTGCTTAGATGAAGTACTGTAAAAAAATAGCATTTCTCTCCCCCCTTACATTTTGCTTTTCCTCCTTACACGTTCCTTATGGGTTAAGCTTGGGACCATTTGGATGCTGAAGTGCAGGAGTTGAATGGGAGAGAATATTCAGCTTCTCTGCAAGTTTTTGTCCCTAGAAGAAAGAAGGAAAAAAAAAAGAAAAAAGAAAAAAGAAAAAAAAAGAAAAGAAAAAAGGCAAATTGTTTTCAGCTGTCTTTTCTGAACCACACTCCAGCTGGGATGCTCTCTTAACAGGGAGTGACATGAGCAGGGCTTTTGATGTTGTAGAGGCTCAGTGAAATTTATAAACTGCTTGCTATAAACAGAGCTGTTCTCGGATGCAGATTGTTTCCACATGTAAAACAAACCCTGCTGGTTCTTAGAGAGTTGGCTCCTGCCTCTGGAAAGCCAGTATTTTCCCTAGCAGGAGCATGGGACTTGCAGAAAGGAGCTGTGCCCTGCCAGAAGTAGATGATGCCCATGTCTGTGGGGTATGTAAAGCTCTGACCCACCACGGAGCAGCGGCCGGTCCCCAGACAGCCAGGGAAAGGCACCAGAACTGGATCCACCCTGCCCTGGCAGACGGGTTGCCGCAGCCACAGTGGGCGGATGTCTCAGCCCTGGCTGATTCTGGCCACGAGAGCAGGACGTCTCACGTGGACATCCGCATGCAGGCTGGCCCCGCGGCGACAGCGCCTGCGAGGGGCACCCAGGCTGCCCCTGGCGCCCTGCTGGTGCCGCTGGCAGGGAGCCCCCGGCACGTCTGGTGGGCGATGCCGACGGGCGAGCGGCTGTTCCCTGCTCTTGGGCCGGCCTTGCCGCGCGCAGCTCCTCGGCGTGGGGCAGCCACCCGCGCGGCTCTGCTTGTTCCCATCTCGCCCTGGGGGTAGGTGTAGCGTGAACATGTGTGGGGAGCGGCTGCCCGTGCTGCTCTTGGCTCCGGGACAGCAGTGCGGAGCAGTTGGTTGGTGGCTGCATCGTGCTTGGGAGGTACCTTGTGGGTGCAGCTTCCTGCACTCATCCTGGTGTCCCTGGGACTCGCTCATCTTTCTGCACACCGGGCTGACTCTGCTAGTGGCCATTTTGACGTTTTTCAATGTTTGGCAATGCCAGGAGGCGAGTCCCCATCATTACAGCAAACGATGATGTGCTGCAAAACAGGAAACCACACTCCCAGCCACTGTGGGCTCTGGAGGAGCGAAGGGAGCCATGGCCGTGCTCGGAGGATGCCAGGGATGCCGCTAATAGCTGTGGTATGGCAGGGAGGGGCCCAGAGGACGGCTCCGTCCCGCACCAAGACGCTGGGCAGCGCCTTCCCAAGCCCTCCTGGACCACAATGACGGAAGCTGGGAGCGCAGTAGCTCCCATGGCCCCTCTGGCTCTTTTCAGGGAGAAAAGCAGATCCTGTCCCCAAGAGCAGTGTTTTGGCAGCGGGATGAGCCTCGGTGCTTAGCCTCTTCCCACACCTTTCTCCTTTGGCTTTTCTTGGCTCTCCTCTCAAAGCAGCCAGGTTAACCTGTCACTTTGGGAGATGTCACAGACTGACTGATGGAGCAGTAGGCTCTGGCCAGCTTGGCCGGAGCACCCTGGGGAAGTCCCGCACTGAACTCCCCTTTGCTTTCCCTGCAGGACATGGAGCAGAGTGGCTGGGTCCTGCTGCTTGTGGGCTTGCACGTGGTCTGTGTCGCCCGTGCCCAATGCCCAGAGCAGTGCAAGTGCATCCGCACAGCCCAGGTGGAGTGCTCCGGAGCCAGCATCACGGCCGTGCCCAGCCCCATCCCTGCAAACACCATGACCCTGCAGATCATCAACACGCGCATCACGGAGCTGGGTGCCGCGTCCTTCGGCAATGCCTCCATGCTGATTGGGTTGCGCATCGAGAAGAACGACCTGTCACGTATCAGCCCCAGAGCCTTCCAGTACCTGCCCTCCCTGCGCTACCTCAGCCTGGCCAGCAACAAGCTGCAGGAGCTGCCCGTGGAAGTGTTCGAGCCCTTGGGCCAGCTGGAGTCACTGCTCCTGTCCAGCAACCAGATCCTCCACGTTGAGCCCTCCCACTTCGCCCAGCTGAGCAACCTCAAAGAGCTGCAGCTGCACGGCAACAACCTGCACGAGCTGACGGAGGGGATGTTCGACCCGCTCACCAGCCTCACCAAGCTGAACCTGGCCAGGAACAACATCGAACGCCTGCCGCCCCAGGCCTTTGAGCGGCTGACACGGCTCCAGGTGCTGCGGCTCTATGAGAACCGGCTCCGGCAGATCCCTGCGGGCATGTTTGATGGGCTGCCCGAGCTGGAGGAGCTGGGGCTGCACCAAAACCAGTTGGAGACGCTGTCGCCAGAGCTCTTTACGCACAATGAGCGCCTCCAGAAGCTCTATCTCTCCAACAACCTCATCACCGCCCTGCCCAGTGGTGTCTTCCTGCCCTTGCGTGCCCTCTCCAAGATCACCCTGCACGTCAACCGGCTGCGGGAGATCGCCCCTGGTGCCTTCGGACCCATGCCCAACCTCAAGGAGCTGTGGCTCTACGACAACGAGCTCACTGGCCTCCCTGAGGGCATCTTCAGCAACCTCACCGAGCTGCAGCTCTTGGTGCTGAGCAAGAACCAGCTGCGCTCAGTGTCAGCAGGAGCTTTCCGGGGCCTGGGCGAGCTGCTGGAGCTGTCGTTGCACACCAACGCGCTGCAGCGCCTGGACGCCGAGGCCCTTCAGGGGCTGCCCAAGCTGCAGAACATCTCCTTGCACAGCAACCAGCTGCGGGTGCTGCCGCAGGGCCTCTTTGAGGCCACGCCGGCACTGAGGAAAGTGCAGCTGCAGGGCAATGTCCTTGAGAATCTGCCAGCAGGTGTCTTTGCCCCGCTGGCTGCCCTGCGGGAGGTGAGGCTGCACAACAACTCTTGGCGCTGCGATGAGAAGATCCTCTCCCTCAAGACATGGCTGGAGGCCAACCAGCGCAAGGTGGGCGAGATCCCCCCGGTGTGTGCCCTGCCGCTGCTCCTGCGGGGCGCTCCCATCGTGGGTCTGCGGCGCGACCAGCTGCTCTCCGATGGGCTGCCCCTGACAGCCGAGCCGGAGGGCTTCACGGCCACCTCACACCCCAGCACCACGCGCTCTGCGCATCCACCTGGGCCAGCCTTCACGGCCACAGAGATGGGGCGCCCCACGGGGCTACCGGCAGCCCCTGACCTTGCAGAGGAGGAGCAGGAGGAGAGGGGGCAGTGGGGGCTGACGCGGGTGCAGAGCGGGGTGGTGGTGGCAGTCATCGTGCTGGTGTGCACTGCCCTGCTCTGCGCTCTCGTGGCACTCGTGGCCTACAGCTGTAGGAAGAAGAGCAACATCGTGCTCATGAGGATGAAGGCACCCAACGAAGCCTGAGTGCAGCGGCTGGCAAACCCTTGGAGGAGCAGCGTTGGTGAGACAGCCCCTTGGTGCTGCCGATGACTGGGGCCGGGACACCTGGTAGTGACCTTGCGTCAGGTGCCGTAGACAAGCTGGACGGGCCAGCATTGCTCTGCATCCCTCACGCTGCTCTGCTTTGCCTCGTGCAGGCCTTCTCCTGCAGGGAGGTGAAACCCCACAGCCGCCCTGGCTCCTCTCCAGCCCCTCACCTCCAGCACATCCTCTGTGCTCACTCCCTGCACCTCGGGATGTCCCTGGGGCCCATCAGGCACAGGGCAGAGCCTCAGCCCAGCAGGGCAGGGGCTGCCCAGGGCTCAGCAGGTTGCTGCAGCCTGGCCATGCTGGTGCTTTCTGGAGCAAGGCAAGCCTCATCTCGCCCATCCGTCATTTGGTGTTGCCCTTTGAGCAATTCCCACTGCTTGCCCTGGCGCTGCTTCTTGCCCTACCCCAGCTCACGGTGCCTCGTGCCTTTGCCCTTCTCCCATCCCGTGCCTGGGTATGCAGGGTACTAAACCATCATGCAGCGCTGGGGAGAGCAGCAGAGACCTTTGCCCAGAGCAGAGCTGTGTGTCCTTGTGCTCGTTTGCAGCCTGGGGGTGTCCAGGGGGCGAACCCCTGGGGGCAGGACTGTCTGTGCCTTGTTCCTGTGCCTGGACAGGGCTCCTTGGTGCTACTGCAGCCTGCACAGAGTAACCCGACTGTGCCCAACCTGCCCACAGGCAGTGCACGGTTGAGAAAAGCAGCATCTTCCCCCAACCCCATCTCAAGAATGTCCTGACCACAGCTGTGCTCCTGCTGGCTGGAGGGTCCTGTCCCTGGGGGCTGAATGGGGCTGCGTGCCTGGTCTGGACACAGCAGCAAATGCCTGCAGCCAAGCTGCAAACTGAGGCCTGAGCCTCGTGGTAGGCTGACCTCCCCGAGGCCATGCTACAGTCTCTGGTCTTAGAGCATGCTGGAGAGGGGCTAGGTGCAATAGGCTGCTGCTGTAGGGAAAGAACTAGTGACTGGGAGATCGGCACGAAGCATGCATGGAGCTGGCCCAAGCGCCCGGCTGTGCCAGCTGGCTGTCACCCAAGGAAGTACTTTTCAAAGCCCCTTTCCCTGTGTGGGCCCCTCTCCCTGGGGCCAAGAGAGGCTCCCTGCGCTTACACCCCAGCCAAGAGCGGCTGTTGGAACATCCCGTGGCTGCTGGAGCATCCCATGGATGCAGCCCAGCAGGACCCCATCTTGCTCACCTCTGTGCAGCCCTGCAGTGCTGCAGTGGTGCTGGGGAACGTTGCCATGGGCGTCCAAGAGCCGGGCGAGGGGCCGAGCTCCCCAGTACCCGCCAATCTCCCTGCCCTGCGCCCCCGCTTTGGTGGTAGCAGGCCCCGCGCTCACCCGCTGGTGCGCTCCTCCTGCAGAAAAGCCTGGAAACATGTGAACATGCGTCTGTGCTGTTCAATACCTGCTCTGTGACCTCTTTGATTAAAGTGCAATTGTCCATCTCCAGTTCCAAGAATTGTTTGTTTGCTCCTACATGTTATGCTGCCCTGTGCCCTTGGAACAACCCAGCTGAGTTGGGAGTTTTACATTATTTCCTCTCCTAAACCACGTGTGTGTGTGTGTGTGTGTGTGTAGATATGTGATTTTTAGATTTATTTATAACTATTTTATTTTGAGGACAAGGCCACATATGCTGTGTGAAAGAGAGAGAGAGAGAGGGAGAGAGAAAGGGAGAGGGGGAGAGAGAGAGCTGAGACCTCCATCAGCTGCTCCACAGAGATGCTTCCTGCAGAGTCCTCTCTCAAGACACAGGTTCAGTGGCTTTATCAAGTTTGGCCCTGGGGTGGAGGAGCTCACTGGGCTCCTTTTCAAGACAGTTGCTGATGGCTGCGGCAGCCTGAGCCTCTGCCACAGCTGAATTTCTTCACACCTGAGCAACCTGTCGCCAGTGGTCCATCCAAAGCCATTTAAGTACCTGGAGAGAAGCATTCAGCTCTATCAGGTAGGAGGCGAGCTTTTGGGATCCTGGCTGATCTGTAGGCTTTGTCTGGTCTCACATTGGTATCCCAGGCTAGAGAACACTTAATGCAATCAATATAGCAGGCTCTGCCTTCCTAGCTGCACAATGATGGTCCCAGAGCCTTACTGGGCATGCCGCTCCTCCCTCACCATGGTTTGGGTTTCCCTTGGTAAGCCTTGCCTGAGTTGCCTCTCAGCAAGGGCACCTGCTGGTCTCATTCTTCAGTGACATTTATAAAAACCCAGGAAGGCGTTTGGAGGGCTGCAGTGAGCAAGTGTGCTGACCTTGGGTGTGGGATGGGTGTCACTGGTGCCAGCAATGCCCTGTCACTGCCCGGGGGCTGGTGCACCTTCTGGGATGTGACGCTGCTTCTCTGCCAGGATGCTAGCTCACTGCTGGCTTTGTTCGGCTCTCTGAGTGCGTTCACCTCAATCCAGGCTGGGCTGGCTGTTCTGAAGCGCTCCAAGGACACGGGTTGCTGTCGCCGATAAGCAGAAATGGGCAGCTCCGCCCCAGCAGGGATGTTTCGTCAGCTGGCTTCAACATCCGCCCCAGAATACATCTTCCTTTCTGGAGGAGTTTTGCTTCTACAAATTCGCATGGGACTCAGTCACGGTACCCGTGATGCTGTTCTTGGTGAGTGGCAGCTGCTTGACTCAGGCAGTTGGAGACAAGGGTTTGCTAAGGGATCTGGGTGTGCTAGGAACGGGTTTTGTCTTTGTGTGAAAACATGTCAGAAGGCAGAAAGGAAAACAGGCCCAATTCAGCTCTGAGACACTGGCACGAATCTAGAGCACCCCTCGTTTGAATGGGATTTCTCTAGGTTGCTGTCACTGCGAAGCAATATTCACCTTTGGGTGGTGCTCATGCCCAGCTTTCTGGTAGCACCTACGTGTGTCCTGAGCACCAAGATGCTAGCTGTGGCCTGAAGGCCACTGCTCTGCTCAGGCTGTCCCACGTGGGCTGGCAACAGGCACATGGTCAATCAAATATTCTGCAAGCCTGAGTGCTCCTGCTCCGCTCGCCGAGGGCTACCTGAGCTGCTTAGAGCTCTGCCAAACTACCCTGCCTGGTGCTGCTGGGTGGAAAATGTTGCCTCGGTCTGTGTAGGACACTTGTCCTATTCCGAAGCTGCTTCTGAAGGCTGCTTTGAGCAGTCTTGTGCTTGCTGGACACTGCCTGGGGAACCCTGCCACATGCAACCCTCAGCCCTCTCTCCCTGCCCCAGCATTTCGACCCTTAGCCCCTGCACATCTGTCCCAGGTGCACACACACACCCCCTCATTATAAACCCTGAGTCCAAAATTTTAATAAGAAATAGAAATATGTAACAGGCATCTAGAAATACAGACAGTGGAGCCTGCTCACTTTGTGACTGGCTGCTGATTTGCCAAGGTCTGCTCTGCAGCACTCCCCTCGCCACACGGTGTGAGCACACCTCGGGTTCCTCCAGGGCCTCAGTGAGACAATGCAGGCACGGCTTTGGCCATGGCCCTGCAGGACATGGGGGCCTGCTGGTGAGCGTGGCACAGTCTTGGTTGTCGTGGGTGAAGAGCAGGGCTGGGACATGGGTGGAAAAATGTGGATGTGCTGCAAGGGAGGGCTTGGGGAGTGAAGTGCCCTGCTCCTGTGAAAGCCAAGCAAGGGCAATGCTGGGGTGATCTGCAGAATGCGGGATGAACTTGTGGATCGCGCTCGCTGTGTTTCCCAGCACAAAAGTCACTTCTCCTGGGGTGCAGACTTTTGTCCCACTGAAGCAGTGCGTGGGGCAGGACTGGCCCCAGCCACAGCACAGGGATGAGCCTTGGTACCTTCTCCAGTGCAGGGTGACGGTCTACGTGGGGCTGGGATCCCTGCTGGTGGGAGGGTTCCCCCAGCCCTGCCCTCCGTCCTGCCAGTGCTACGATGTCTCCAAAGTCTTCTGTTCGGAGGAGAGGATGCAGGAGATCCCCACGGGACTGCCAGGGAATGCGACCCAGCTCTTTTTCATGGAGACGGCACTCAGCAGCCTCCGCAGAGGGGCCCTGGGTTCCAGCACCACCCTCTCCAAGCTGGTTTTCCTCAACAACAACATCCAGGTGCTGGAGGCTGGCATGTTTCAGGGGCTGCCCAACCTCACAGAGCTGGAGGTCTCAGGCAACCTTGCCCTGTCGTTTGTCAGCCCCGGTTTCTTGGCTGGCCTTCCCAGACTCAGCAAGCTCTCCCTGGGATCCAATGCCATCCGCTCCCTGAAGCCAGGGATCTTTGGTGCCGTGGGCTCCTTGCAGGACCTACATTTGCGGAGAAACAAGATCGAGGTGCTGCCTCCCGAAATCTTTCGTCCACTTCGACACCTCCAGACCCTGGACCTCTCCCAGAACATCATGACTGAGCTGCCCCCGGGTCTCTTCGCTCCCCTCACCTCCCTCCGTGTCCTGAAGCTGAGCGACAACCTGCTGGCCTGGCTGCCGTCCTGGGCCTTCAGCAGCCTGGGCCACCTCGTCGAGCTCCACCTGGGCGGCAATCGGCTGAGGGCGCTGCCACATGGGGGCTTCACAAGCCTCAGAGGCCTGCGGCGGCTACAGCTGCAGCACAACGCCTTGGGCAGCCTGCACCCCGACGTCTTCTCCTGCCTCTCGAACCTCACCTCCCTCAACCTGGAGGGCAACCAGCTCGCCACCCTGCCGGACACCCTCTTCTGGGGCACCCCACGGCTCCTCGACCTCTCGCTGACCCACAACTGCCTGAAGACAGTGCCTGAGGGCATCTTTGCCAACCTCTCGGAGGTGCAGACCCTGGCGCTCTCACACAACAGCCTGGCACACCTCCCCACTGGGGCTTTCCAGGGCCTCTCGAGTCTCACGGCACTGCGGCTCAGCCACAACAACCTCTCTAGCCTGGCACCCAGGCTCTTGGCGGGGCTGCCCAACCTGGTGGTGCTGGCACTGGAGCACAGCAGCCTGCCACGACTGCCCCCGGGGCTCTTCAACAGCAATGAGGAGCTGGCACGTGTTGGGCTGGTGGGCAACCCCTGGATGTGCGACTGCCGCCTCGCCTACCTCCTGGGCTGGCTGCGGGAGTTCGCCGACCCTCTGGCTCACG